CTTCAAAGGTGCAGTTGTTGTTCCATGCAAAAGGCTTTGTAGTGGCAGATGAGGCTTTCCGCAGCAAGAATAATGTGCAACGCATGTGATGGTTGTTTGCTAAATGATCAAAATTCGTTGATTTAATAGCTATGATGTTTTTGCATTAGTTTGGAACTTTCATGCTAGTATTTTTTTTAATTGGCATACTTGTTAAAGATGTTGATTGATTTAACTCGACGATTAGATCAGTTAGCTAAAGCTGTTCTAGCTTAACCATATGTTTCGAGTTTGAAGCTTGCGAATACAACATCTTAGGAGTCAGAGGCGTCAACCTGAATAGTTCTTGTCATGTTTCAATCCGGATTACTTTGGACCCATTATTATGCCTAAAAGATATCCTGACTCAGGATATTGGGTGCTTATGATGATTGATTTAATAGTTATGATACTTTTGTATCATTTTAAAATCTTTATATATACTAAGAAAAAAATAGGCGCACACAGGGGAATTGGATATCTCCATTTTAATTTACCAAAAAAAAAAAAAAGAGAAAGATATCTCCATTTTAATCCTTTGGCAAATTTTATTTGATTCGATTCCTTTGATCCTCTACTTTGGACACTGTGCACCGAAGCACAGACATGTGTCCCGAGACCCAAAAAGGAATCAAAGCGGCAAAAATTCAGCAGTCCTGTGGCAAAAACACGCACATATGTCCAAATCCAAACGCGTGTACTTGTCTTATATAATCCCAAGGCTTTTCCGACATTTTCTCCCAACTCTTCAAACCCACACATTTTCCTCGCCACCGAACGCCTTTTCAAGGTTCGGTCGACTTTTCTGAAGCTTAGAGCAATTAAAATCCTTATAAAAAGTCAATTCCACGGAGAAATTATTTCAAATTATCAACGCTAAACGACCAGACCCAGTCTACCCCTCTCTGTCCAAGTTGCAGCTCTCTGATCAGTCCAGTTGCTCGACTGAGTTTCCTTTTTCTTTCTCTGGGGTGATTGCTTGATTCGTTCGACGAGGTGATTTGACTGAAGCTGATTTTTTGCATTCCTTGCATACATAATAAAGATCATCCCTCGATCCTTCCATGGATTCTGACTTCTGGACCTCGCGCCTTGCCGCCGCCAAACGCCATTATAGGATTCAGCATCAGAGTCAGAATTCGCCCTTGGGTTCGTATGGATTTCAATTCGATATATGGGCCGCGTTTTTCTCTTTTGCAAAATCTGATTTCTTGTGTTTTGGGGCTCACAGATCGGTTGGGAATCGACGATTTCGATGTGGAGGACGATGTCCGGCTCTATTTTTCATGCCCGTACTGTTACGAAGACTTCGACATATCCTCGCTTTGTTCGCATCTCGAAGATGAGCACTCATGCGAAACAAGAGTCACGGTACACGCTTTTATCATATCTATTTTGTATTGGTATTCATCTGTTTCTTTGGCGTTAAAAAGTGAACCGGTGTAGTGATCCTGTGTTGAAACTATAGTCAAATCCTGTTTTTCCGTTTATAGGATTTTTTAACAAATTAAAAGCTTTATGCTCTTTTGCTAGGGGTAATGAAAAGATCAGAGTAACTTAGGAGTACTTTTGTCGCCTAGGTAAACAATAAGTTCGATGATATACAGCAAAATTTAAGATTAGTCAGGGAAGGGACGAAGGCAAAGGACCCAGTCAAATTTGCTTACGTTGGTTGTTAGTAGCCGAAGTAGATGAAGTTAACTTTTATGAGAAACTTATGTAGCAAGGTTTACTAGAAGTAGAACCTTTCTTTTTGAAATCTTTAATGTAGCTAGCTAGTGAATAATCAAGGGAGGGTCGGACTTTATGCTTATTAACTGTTTTAAAAAATGATGAATTGCCTTTTTCTTCAAGTCTTTTCATGCTCTGCATCCTTAACTGTACTGAAAACTTATGGTATGCAATCACTTAATACACACACCATTAACTAAGGATTCGTGATATTTTTATTTTTTATTATAATTTTATAATTTTTCCTCATGACGATCTAAGTAGTTGAGAAGTGCTTCTCTCATTCCAAAGCTTATTTGAGATGGAGAAGATAACCCAACTTGTCAACATGATTAGTCTATTATGCTTTATCTCTAATTCTTTTTAAGCAAATTTCAATTGTTTAAACACGTACACAAAGTAGACGTGCTTATTTATGGTTCCCACTGTGTGGTGCTTCATTCGAGGGTAAGTTCATTTCTGGCACTTGCTGCCTTGTTAATTGATCGTAATATAAGCAATATTGTATTAGTGACAATTTAATAATGAATGGAGAGCAGTTTAGCTATCTAGACTGCATTCGTATTTTAAGCATCGTTTTATTTTCTCCTGGATCACATCTTAGCGTCTTATCAGCTCAAGTTTTGAAGAAGCTCAAGATCAATGAACATCTAGTGTCTAATTTTTAATTTCTGTCTAGCAGATTTGCCCTATATGCTCAGTTAAAGTTGCTCGAGACATGCTAAGTCACATAACTCGGCAGCATGGACACTTGTTTAAGATATCCTTTTTACTTTTATTATTTTGATCTGAAATTTTATTGCTTGTCTAACTGAAAGGTTGTTTATCAAGTAAAAGGTCAACTATTCTTATTGGTTCCCCTTAACTGAGGATTACTTGCAGAGAAGACATAGGTTAAGAAAAGTTGGTATGCCAAACAGTAAGGCATTGTCCCTTCTGGGGAGGGATCTGCGTGAAGCTCATCTACAAGTGCTCCTTGGTGGTGGTAATGCTGGTTCCCGGTCCAACAGTTCTAGTGTATCTGATGCAACTACTGATCCATTCTTGTCCTCACTTATTTTGAATTTCCCTGCTTCTGAAGTGGACGATATTTCAAAATCTGGGGTACCAAGTGCTGAAGATTCTTCTGCAAAGAATATGGCACCTCCACATATTTGGAAATCAAGGTACCTTTTGGATTTTTTGTTTCTTTTTCCGTGTTTGATTGTGATTTTAATTGAATTATGTCAATAACATGTGTCATTACCAAACCTTCTAATCAAGATGCATCAAGCTGTTCAAACTCTTGTGCTGTAATGATCATGTATGATTTCTTCATCAGAATATTTGATTTGAGCTATCAAATGATCTGTGAATATAAAATGTCATGGGGAGGCTGGTAGAAAGATTTATATTGACCTTGATGTCATCCTAATTGTCAGTAATCCCCTGTGCTGTTCACTTTGCAATGTATGACATGCCTCTTTAAGCATGATGATTTGCTTGACCAATTATTAATGGAGTAATTCTAATATTAGGCTATCCAAATACAACTTTTTGTTGCCAAAACTCACCCTCATGCATGCATGCCCATGGGATCGCCTTTCCAGATCATTGATTTGATCTGTTGAAGATCCAGGATCTGCCTGATGATGCCAAGTTTTTTTTTTTTTTTTTTAACAAATATTGGTGCAAGAAGCATTACTCTTATTTTTGTCCAATGTATCCATGCTTAACCCATCACTTCTTTCTCTCACTGTCTTTACCTGCAGTTTTGATCCCTCCTTGAGTACTGAAGAACGGGAGAAAAGGATGAGACAAGCTGCTGGGAGATCTGGTTTTGTGCAGGATTTGTTTCTTTCAACTTTGTTGGAATAGTTCAAGCTATTAGTTTCATACTGAAAGGATAATCAAATGTAAGATCCCATTTGAGGAGTATCTTGTCGAAGGAAACCTCCATTGGGATACAGTGGTTCAAGGACAAGCCTTGTTGTCCTGTATCGAGGCATTATGCTAATGCTGGATGTCCCTAAGATATAAACACCATCTCCAACAACAGTACAGATATGTATTACGTTATGATAAAAACACTTGTTTTCTACCTTATCAATGATAAGTTCTGAATTAGATGTTGATTTTATGAATGGGGTTTTGCTCATCATTGTTCTTCATGGAGTTGTTTAAATCCCTGTCTTTACTGAAGTTGTATCTTGAAGACATGATCGAAAGTGCAAATTACAACTCACTAGCTTCCTAATGGTTTAGGGAGGGTTTGATATTTGCTATTTAATTCAACAACAACCAGTCTTGCTTTTGATTTTACATTTGCTTCTATATTTTCCGAAGCAATGTAGCAGAAACCTGAGCTTCGTCATGCCAGAGGTTATATCTGGTATGAACTTTAGCTTCAAATTTCACAATTGTTGTCTGTGATGGCATGTAGCTGCTAAACCCCTTTTACTTAATGAAGTATAGATGACTTCAGTTTTGAGGATGCCAATAGCCATAGAGGTATGAGTCTTTTCCCCTTTCTTTTCAAAGCAAGTGTCCTCACGAGATAGTATCTTCTGGAGTATCCCAGATTCAGTATGGATTATGATTGGTATGTAACTGGATTTAGTATGATCATCCTTCGTCAAAAAATAGCTGGGGCTTTATATGGTGAAAATTCTTTATTGACTCTATGGTGACTATTATAATCATTGTTAGGTACAAGTTTTTGAAACCATGGTGAGTATATTCATCATTTAAAGGGAAAATAGCATCTGCAATTATTAGCAATTATTGATGACTTCATCAAGGATCTTGTGATTCAATGTTTTGCCTCATCATGAAGACATGGCTAATTTTTATAACATTGCCAGACCATAATCTAATGATGAATTCGGATTGTAATTTAGTGCATTTTTCTTAAGAAAAGCACCACATGCATGCCTCCCTAATTTGTGATCTCAATGATTGATTCGTAAATCATCATGCAATCCCCGTTATCCTTTTAAAAAATGGTCGAACGTACTTAATCTCTTTGACAAGTTATATTTGCTTGGATTAGTTTATATCAAGTAATTTTGTATTGTACGAAGTAATCACATTAGAGAGGTTTGTGTTGGAAAGAGAAACTGTTTTTTTTGTTGGGGTAGATTCCCAAAGTGGCTTAAATTATATATATACATATATATATATGGATGCATATACATAATTTTTTGTTAATAATATAACTTGAAAACACCTCAGAATATCATAAAAAGACATAATGCACCCTATATTTTTACATCGAAAAGAATTAAATATTACCATAATAGTAGTCAATAGCAAGTTGTTTCAATGATAACATTGTCTATTGTGCTTGGATAGGGTCTTGATAATAAATCTCACATTGACATATTCTTGTGTCCCACTGTTTAAATTGATTATATTAAAAAAAAATTACCATAACAGCCAAAAAATTAAAAAAAAAAACCCTCAATGACTATGTCTTGTTGCCACGTAACTGAGTTCCAAGCAAATGGCCAAAATGAGATGGCAATTTAACAAGCATTCAATCCATACAGCTTTCGTCAATGTCTTTCATATCTTGACCGCATAAGCCAAAGGAAAATATAATTTCTTTTACTTGGTAAACAGACAAACCACCAAGAAAAGATCATCAACCATGGGCTGACATTAATTTGCAGCTCCGTCCAACTTCAAGCTCTTAGCATAATCGTGCGAAACTGTAGAGGGAGAGAGATGAAAAGGATTTAGATCTGAAATTATTCTTTTCAAGGACAAGAGTACAATGATGAACATAAAACTTGCAATTATACCCCTCCAGCTCTAAATGTTAGAAATAATTGCCATACAACTGCCATGAAAGTTCTCTTGCAAGTGGGAGGTTGTAGGTTCGATCTTATTTATAACTTCCTGTCGTTAGTGTCTACTCTTTACAAATAACTAATTTAGCTAATATAGAGAGTAGTAATGATGGTGCATACCTAGAATTGTAAGCAAGAATGCATGCTGAGTTCTACCTTGCTCCAAATTCAGTCTTGCATTGCACACTCCACCAACATTCCAGTACTTCAAAGTATTGATAACGTGTTTGATTCCAACCAGCAATGCTGGGTGTTGGGAAGCAAAGCGTTAAATCAACTTGACTGCCTACACCTGTGGGATGTGGTCGACAATGTTCCTTATCAATGGGATAAGCTCCTACGTAAACTCGATATCGGAGCCGACCAAATTGGAAATTTCTCATAGTTTCTTCATCCATTCCGTTATTATGGGGATTGGCATCGCAATAATCTTGGAATTTCCAGTTTATGGAGAAACCACTCCATGCTTCGTCATCTGATCTGCGACTGAAAACAACGCATATAGCAATTTCCCAACAATCATTATCAGAATATGCATTTTCAGGTATGTTTGCTGTTATGGTCACAACCTCGCCGGAGTTACCCTTACTCCGGCAATGCTTCCATTCTTTAAACCACCTTGGAACTCCACTCTTCCACAGAAAAGTAGCGTACATGTAATCATAGAAAACATGAATTGGACCCTGCATAACAATAGGATGACTTAACAAGGAAAAACTAGTATAAACACTTCTTTTAATGTGATCCCTGAATAATATAATATCTCTCTAATCTTAAATTAAAAAAACAATTAAAATGGCCCCCGAAATATATTTTTTGTTCTCTCTCTGATACACAAATGGCACTACTTTAGCGCTTGAAGATACAAAAACATGAAAAAAGAAATATCTGCATTTTCGTTAGTTAACAGCCATGTGAAAATCCCATTTTTCTCTATTGGAAGACTCAATAGAACAATTCACATAGATAGATGATGAGATGGTAACTTCAGGCACTAGCGAGTCTTAGTTTAGTTTTAGGCTTTTAAAAAAAATGTATGAGAAACGAAGTAAGAGATAGATATGAAACCTTAAAGACACGCGAGTCGTATAGGTGTACGAGAGCTGTCGTAAGCTTCAACAGAGGACAATAGCTTGCAGATATGATCAAATTTGGAGGGAGCTCAGGCATTGACTTGAGCATGTTGCAATCACTCACATCTAAATATCTGAGATTTATTAAATGAATTATGGATAAAGGAATCTTCTTGATTCTAGTGCTCCTCACATCCAAGAAGTATAGATTTGCCATATTTCTGCCAAATTCAGAAGTTTCTGAAGATTTATGCATCCACCAAGAACAAACTCCTCTAGATTATTTGTTTCCAAATAACTTGGAAGAGTTACAAGATTTATTCAATATCCCACACGTAGCTTAACCAACTTCTTTAACTGTCCAACAGATTCATGAATCCGAACTAGGTTGCTGCAATGAGTAAGGACTAACTCTTCCAGATTTGGTGTTGCAGAGAAATCTGGAGTCTCTATTAGGTCATCAGAATCACTCAAATCAATGATCCTCAGCTTACCCAAAGACTGAGCAAGATATAAGACCCAAAAAAAAAAAAAAAGAGGAGCAGACAGCATCAGTATTTCCAATGTCTAGTAAATAACATATAGGCAAACAATCATACACACAAATATAACATATTATAGAAGATTGTAAAAGAAAAGCATACCGGTGCTCCATTCCATAGTTTTGTGATTTTGCTATTGCATAATTGAAGGCACTCAAGTTCATATAATTGATCAAATGATGGCAGAGATTCCAAAGCATAATGATCCCATGTAAGAAACTTCAATGCACTTGGAAGAGAGTTGAGATTATGCAAAAGGCGCACCTTACTTAAATTGAGTAATCTAAGATTTCTCATTCTTGAGAAGCAATCAGGGTGCCACTCTGCTTCAAATTCTTGTTGTGGGTCCAAACTTATAGTTTGAATATTTTCTGTCCCCTAAGAAACGTGCATGAAGATTAAAAACGAAGAGAGATAGTAAGATTTCTAGCATAATATGGAAATAATGATGCAACATATAAACTAACCTCAGTACAATCAAAATTCAAACACCTACCCTGTTTCCTTTCAACACAAGATCAATGTCCTCTAAAACCCACAATCTACTGCGCCGACTAGCATCACCAGGAGATTCTTGCAAAACAATGCTTCTTCCCATCTCTTGAAGCAAATCGTGCATATGTAGACATTCTTTGGAAGCATCAAGAAGCAACGTGTCATAGAAATCTGTTGGCAAGAAAATGTCCCTTCTCAACATTTTAAGAACATCTGGCATATAATGATGATCTTCTGCAATTTCCCTTGAATCTAAACTAGATTCAAGCTGGATGCCTAGCAAATATTTTTCTATAAGAACTTGAATTCCAATTATTGGATGAAGGCCACATATTTTCAATATACCTATGACCTTAGATTTGGCCTCCCCATTATAAAAACATGCAATATCTAGAAACATTCTCCTGTACTCTTCATCTTCTAATCCATCATAACTGATGCGAAGTTGATTAAAAATATCATGATGTAAATTTTGCCTCAGTTTTTCTAATGTGTCTCTCCATTCAGATTGCTTTCTCCTACAAAGAAAAGATCCCAAGACTTCAAGTGCCAAAGGAAGTCCACTGGCATATTCAACTACTTCTCTGGACAAATCCAAATAACTTCGGTTTGGCTCGTCTTTTCTGAATGCTTTCTGACAGAAGAGTTTAAGGGACTCATCTGGACTTAACCTCCCCACTTCATATGCTTCAAACTGTTCATACTGTGTCAATAATTGTATATCTCGAGTAGTTATTATTATTTTGCTCCCTGCACCAAACCACTCTTTATTTCTAGCCAAATTATCCAACTGACGTCTATGGCTTACATCATCAAGAACAATGAGAACCTTCTTATGGCACAAGAAATTTCTTATGACATCTCGTCCCTGAAAGCAGTCACTTATTTCTGGTTCTCCTAGTCCAAGACAAGAAAGAAGTTTCTTTTGTAAGCCAACCAAGCCAACCCTTTTGGAATCTTCCCTTACATTGGCAAGAAAACAACGAGTGTCAAACTTTTTTCGGATTGAATCATAAACAACTCGAGCAAGAGTTGTCTTACCTATCCCACCCATACCCCATATCCCTATGAAGCACTTATCATCCAATCCTATCTTTAAACTGGAGATTATCCTCTCTGCCTTTGATTGCACATCTCCAACTAAATGTTCAAAACTTGATGGCAATTTATCACATAATTTGTTCCATATGAACTTGGCAATGTCTTCGACAATTTCTCCTTCATGTCTGTGCAGAATGATTATACAGTGTTCTAATTAGTTAAAAAGAAGTTTGAACGAAAACAATGGCAAATTTATAAAGGAGTTGAAAGGAAGCAAATATTTCTTGATTAGCAACTTTAAAATCCACGTATACAAATTTCTTGAGTCAGTGCAGCGTGTGGGAGCAGAAGAACAGAGCAATTTGCACTGAGGTAAGTGTTATAAAACCCATTAATTTTAAAAGAAAGTTTGCAGATCGTTTAATTTAAAACTCAAGGAATTTAAATCTTACATGTCCTTACTTAGCATGTCAACCAAATAAAAGAGGGATCGAAGTCTTACCTATTTCTGGTATCCCAACCAGACAAATTAGCGACCATGGTTAAAGCTTCTCATCTTCGTACTTTATCCTCTGAAAAGACGCGTGTGTGTTTCTCAAAAGCTGTGGCAAAGCTGTTTTTCTGACGTCGTACATCAGATGGATCTACACCATAAAAAACTGGAAAAACTGTTTGCCCATGGTTTTGTTTGGATTCCATAATCTTTTCCAATTCATCCAAACACCACGAGGAAGAAGCATAATGTTGAGAGAGGACAACAACGGAAAACAGAGATTGCCCAATAGCTTTAATGAGTTTCTCAGAAATAACTTGTCCTCTTTCAAGTTCTTCATCATCCCTAAATGTTACGACTCCCTTTCGGAGTAATGCAAAGTATAAATGATCAGTAAAATTTGTTCGAGTATCTTCTCCGCTAAAACTTAAGAAAACATGATAACTCATGAGTGATATTGTAGAAGAACCCAGAGCACTAGTAAGTGCCATTGAAGGTTGACTGAGGGAAATGAACTCTCAATGAAATCTCTGTAGTAGTGCAAAGATTTATATCCATAATAACAAACATAAAAAAATACTCCTCTGATCCTATTTATAAAATAAAAAGATAAAATATTTTTTAGTCCTATTTACAAGGTATTGGGAGAAAATTTTTGCATGGATTATGTAATTTTACATTTTATTTATTATTGTGTTGATTTTATTCATACGAAATATAATATATATTAATTAAGGATAAAGTGAAAAAGTTATTAAATTTTAATTGAGAATTAATAAAATTTAATATTTTTTTAGTTTATATAAAATATATTAGAAGTAATTTATAAATAACATCAAGTAATCAGATATCCTTTATTTAGATGCGTTTTCCGAAATTTGTATCATGTGATGTCTTGCATCTTTTCCCTCATTTCTTTTTTTGGCCGGAGGCTTGCATCTTTTTCAATTCAACGTTCACACACAGTACATACACGTCAATTCCAAATAATATTTAAATATAATATTATTTTTTATTTTTATTTAATTTTTTGTGTTGGAATTCGTTTTTTATTGTTCTTTGATGAGTGACAAGCTAACGGTCATATGCTCAGAATGTAGTCTAAATTCTAAAAAGATTCGTTTAAGGAATATTTAGTTGGACCGGTTATCAAAACCAAAAAGATTAGCCAATCATGATTTAAATAGTCGGATCGGTTAAATCATTTAGTGGGACTGATAATATAATAATAAAATAAAAATATTAAATAATATTATATATATGTCATATATTATGACATATATTATATGGAAGTGGCCTGCTGAGTCGTATTTTACTTTTATATATTAATAAAAGATTAATAGATATTACATTCATATAATATTGTAACAAATCCAATTATGCAATTGTGGTTTGGGCAAAAAAAATTATGCAAATTTTTTTTTCCAAATATAAATATCTTTCTTTTTTATTAAAGACAACCTATTTAAAATACTGTTAAAGTATTAAAAGGATATATTGTAAGGACACGGATGCCTTACGGGTCATTACCTTATGGTTTTCCTCCCCCCCCGCCCCCCGGGGGAATCCAGCAAGGCGCACACTCAATCCTGTAATAAATGGGCTTTGCGTTAATGAGGAGCAGGAGGCAACAACGGTTGGGACAAAATAGACAAACATGGAAGGATCTAAGGTTCATAATTGGATCAAGATTGGGCCATTGGGGTGTGGATGGAGCAGCTTTCCCTCTGCTGAAACTATGTTCTTTTTTTTATTTTAATCAAATATCTGTTATTTGCTTGCCTGTTACTGTCTCTTCTGGTGTTATTATTCAAGGACTTTTTTTTTTTTATATATAAGTATCTTTTTATTAAAAAAAATTTTATTTGAGATATTGTCTGGTATTAAATATAGGCACCTCTCCTAACGAGGTTTTGTATATTAGTTTGCCATGTTATGAAAACTAGTCTCTTCTATTAGACCCAATTTTTTAGAAAGTTTATTTCATTACATTGTTGTTTTTATTAATTGCGCCCAAAATACTTGTTTTGCCCAAATGATATTAAACATTTTTTTCTACTGAAGATATTAAACACAACTGAATCCTAAGCTTTACTGAAATATGAGGCTATGTGTTCAACTCTTCGTGAGTATAATGAGCACAGTGATAAGATAAAAAAAATTTGTGGCAAAAAGTATTTAAGAATAACAATTATGTTCACTGAATACTTTAATCCTTTGGCCGAAAATAAATGCATAACAATGGAACAGATTTATCATGTTAACGGGTAGGACAATCACATTGTCGATTTTTCTGCTAAACTGTCTCATAGGAGGACGAAGAGCAATTTTTATATTCTTGACCAACCTCCACCTCTGAATCCAGAAGAAAGTTGTAACTGTTTACTTGTTCCAGGTAATGTCATCTAATTCTAATTCAAAAAAACATGATGAAGCAATGAGCTGTCATTGCCGCTAAAAGACTTAGGCTGTATTTGGGATCACGTTTGGGCCTCCAAACGTGCATCCCCACCACAGAAGTCATTCGGCTCCTCAACAATTATGTTTGGGTCGACGTTTGTGAAATCTGACTTGTACAGCCAAAATGGACTTCTGTAAGAAGCCGAAAGAAGGGGTTTTTGTTTTGGGTGAGGAGGGTGTTGGGATAATACCAGTGAAAAATCAATTGGGAGCAGAAATGTATTTAACAAGGGATAATACAAAGTGTGCTGCCAAAAGCTAGTCTGCATGATTAAGTATTTTATTATTTTTCAATTTCATTCTAATAATAACTTAAATTTTTTTATTTTTAATAATTTTATTTTCAATACTTCTTTTAAAATGGTCACATTATATATATAATTTATTTCTAATAATAAATTAAATTTTTTTACTTTTAATAATTTTATTTTCCTTACTTCTTAAAAAATAGTCACATTATATATATATATATAATATTAGATATGTACTATTTAATAAAATTTATGTCCTTTTAAGTCATTTTACATCCAAATTTACTTTTACATTTATCATCCAAACAAGTTTCAGCTTCTACTTTTTTTTCTCAAAACTCAATCCAAACATAAATCACATTACATTATCTGACTTTTACTCAATTTGACTCCTGTAAAAATCAGATTGAAAAAAAGTTACTTCTGCACCGTTATTCTAAACACACTTTTAAATTTGCTGATGCTGATTCCCTTTCCTTTATAAACGCACGCACACGCTGCCAGCAATGTAGTCCATTATATAATATTTATTTATAAAGTAAGATACATTGACATTTCTCTGTTTTACTTAAGTATGAAAACCTCTCTTCTATTTTGAAAACGTACATAAACTTCCCTTCAAATTGAAATATATGTTACACAAACTTTCCTTATATTTTTAAGACTCAATTTCCATCCACTCAACTATTAGTTGACCGTTAAGTTTAACTTTTAAATTTTTATTTTGACCAAAATATCCCTCTTTAAGATAAATGTTATTTAAACATTTATATCTATAAAAAAATAATTTTTGGTACAATAAAAAATAATTATAATACACATATTTTTAAAAATTTTAATATGTTATAAAATTTTTAGTTTCAATTATATTATAGAATTATATGATTGTAGTTTCTCGTGAAATATTGAAACTTAAGATATTTTTTAAATGGTTAGAAAACATTTTGAATGCTTATTTTCTTATCACATAATATAAATTATTTGATTTTGAAAACTTATATAAATCATTTAAATTTATGTTTGTATTAACTAAATTACTTAATTTTTTGGCCCAATACAATAAAAATATTAAACAAACAACAATTTTCAAAAATAAAATTAAGGTAAAGGAGAAAATCTTAAATTCTTCAATATAGTTTTAACCAAGATTTTGGGATTTCGTATTATGAAGGGTAATTTAGCAAATAAAAAGTATTTCAATATAAATTTGAATTAAAAAAAATCTTTTTAAAATATTCTTAACGGAGTTACCAGTTTGGATTTAAGTGTATGTTTTCAAAATAGATGGAAGGTCTGTATAATTAAGACAAAATGTAAAGGAGGTTAGAGTATTTTACTCTTATTTATATTTTTATGCAGTGAGGAAACAAGTGTTTTTTTTTAATAAAAAAAGGAATAAAACTCTCTTACGGAATTGAATATGGTTTAATATATATATATATATGTGTGTGTGTGTGTGTGTGGGTGTGTGTGCGTGTGACGAAAATATACTCAATTATTTTTTTTTAAGCCCGTGGTATAATCATAAATCCTTTCCGCAATTGGACATTATGCTTATACCTTACAGCGAATTTAAGAAGGGAAATAGGTGACATAGTTGAAAATTCTTTAGTTATACATACAAGTATAACACCCCACACTATATGGGGTGTTATAATATGTATTCTCTCAATTAGTAATTGAAGTTATAATATTTATTCTCTCAATTAGTAAATAAAAAAATAGAATCACCAAGTAGTAAATGGCCTTGTAGCATATAGCTCTTCTTGCAAGGTTACGTGTTCGATCTCACTATAACCTTCAACCGTTAGTATCTTGGGGGGGGGGGGGGGAACCTTATCAGCAAGCATAAAGCAGGATTATCCAAACATTAGAGTTGCAGCAAAAATGTCATGTTCTTCTCACAAATCCGTTCTGAATTTCGGGTTAACTCACAAAAATTGCCTATGTCAATATAAGCCACTTTTCTTAGTATACTGTTTGGAATCATTTATAAACATGTTTTATTCAAATCAAAACAAAACTCATCCTATACACTTGCTTCGTATTCCGTAAATCATGATTAAAAAGCCGTTTATGAACAATTCCAAACATGTCATAATACTCCTGACCTGTTTATTCTCCTTTCTTTTTGTGGGCTTCAAATAATGTAACATGTCAAACATGCAAATAACGTCGCATACCAATCTTAAATCTAGAAATGGTGTAGATTGGTCGGTGACTTTTCTTATAAAGATATTCCCAATCATCTTTAATTCCGGCGTTATTTCAGGAGTCAAGATTCTCAACTCTCTAGTTAAAAAAGTTAAAATAGTAGCATATAAATAGTTAGGTGAGTTTTTC